ACCGGCAACTTGGAAGGCTGAGGTGGAAGGATCGCCGGAGCCCAGCAGGTCGAGGCTGCGGTGGCCGGGAGCGGCCGCTGCACTCCAGTCTGGGCAACGGAGTGAGACTCCAACTCAAAAAAAAAAAAAAAAAGTGTATGTGTGTGTGTGTGCATGTTGTACATATATCATGCTCACACATACTTTGATAATTTAGTTGAGAGGGAGACATATATACCATGATATTAGCAGTGATTTTCTCTTTAAAGTATGATTGCAAGTGACTTTCTTTTCATTTTTTTAACATTATATTTTCCAATTTTTCTACAGTGAACATTGATTGCATGTATAATGAAATTAGGTGTCATTCTTTTGTAGAAATGTACTATTTCCATGTATATGGCTTTTGTTTATAATAATTGTCTTGAGGATAATTTAATATTTATTACATATATTTAAGTTTGGATAAGGTCCAATGAAATCTTAGGTCCTAAAATAAAACCTGGTATTTTCGAATTAGGAAAAACATCGAGAAAAGTGTGCTGTTAGTTTTAGGCCTGAATTTGTATCCTAGCTCTATTTCTTACCAACTTATAACCCTTGATCAAGCTACTTAATCTTCCTTTCTTTTCTATAATTTACTCATCTTTCTGGTATTAATAATAGTAATATCAGTAACTGTAATATTATCTACTTTGCAAGTTAGTTGTAAAGATTAGAAATACTCTGTGTTTGATCCCTAGTAAAGTGCGTGGCACATAGTAAGCAAGCACTTTATAAAATATACCTATGGTTTTTGTATTATGAACTTGCCAGCTTCAAGGGAAATATTACATAGATAATATTAGCTGGGTTCAAATGATTTAGATGGCGGGATGGGTAGGTGAAGGAACTCCAGTAAAAAAGGATGTGGAAAAGAATTGGTACTTCAAGTGTAGATTTATTTATAATAAGCGGAAAAATCAGTAGCGTGAGTCATCTCTGTAGATGAAAATATTTACTAAAATAAAAACATTTATGAGTGTGATGAGAAGTTAAGCATTTAACAGGAAGCAGAGGTGTGAGAGTTAACTCACCTTTCTTGCTTAGCCGTGGTAAAAGGTTGACTGTTTCCTTGCAGAGTGCACAGTTGACTGAGATCATCAACAGTTTGATTGCCCCTCTCAACTTGTCCCCAGCTTCATCACCCCTCTCCTCCAAATCCTGCAGCCAGAAATGTCTGGCTAATGGCATTTCCAGGAGGTAGGTATCAATGAGACAGTTTTGCTTCTAAATTTGGCTATTTTATTTTGATCTTTTAAGTATTATCACTACTTCTTTCCTTCTACATTAAGGACTACTGGAGTACAACCAATATACCGTGGATACAGTTTTAGATAACATCAAACTTATATAATTAAGGTAACTATAAACCTAGGAGAGAGGGAGAAAGCATTCCAGGAAGTTCTATAATGTTTCTAAAAAGGAATAGCAGTGAAAACATTTGCTGTAGAAGTGCTTTCTTATTTACTGTACCTGGTATTTTTTATCTTTTGTATTCTTAAGCTCCATGCTGTCCTTGCAGTGCATTTTTAGAAAAAAAAGATCCTAGATATAATTCGGACACAAAAGATTGGTAGGTACCACCCGTAAAATTCAGCTTAGGTTTTATTTATTTTGTATCTTAGCTTTTATAAAGTAAGTTTTTTTCTGAATATAATCAATAAAATGACTCCTACAGTCATTAGCAATTTATCTCATATGCACCAGCAAAAATATACTATGAATCCTAGGGTTTTTTTGGAGATGGGAACAGTGTTTGTTCTACTTTTTTTTTTTTTTTACCGTTCTCCATACTTTTCCCTTTGAAGATAAAATTGGAAGACGTACTAATAGCATATCATTTTATCTGTACATCATCCAATTTTTTTTTCAGGTAAAATTGTAGTGTTGGCTTCTTTGCTTTAATTACCATAAGGAACTAAGTGTAATTTTGTATCGGGAAATATTCATATTAATAATTATATGATTTAGTATTTTAAAAACTTTGAAATGTAGCATGAGAGAAAAACTTATTAATAGGCTCTACTTAATGATAATCATGAAGGAGAGACTTAAGGCCGTAGAAAATAATGATCCAGGTGGAAAATTAGAGATGCACAAAGGGATGAGAACAAGTAAAATGGTAAGTAATCACATGGGCATATGCACACAAATAATATTAAGATACAGGACAAAAAAAAAGTCCATGATACGATAGCATGCAGGTCGGGAGGAAGGTAAATGGAGTTAAATTATACTCAGGTCTTTGAATTATTCAGGATGCCAGTAAAGGCACTGATTTTACTTTCAATATTCCTAAATTAAGGATGATAGAGGAGCCCCACATAAGAGAAGGAACTTCTTGGGTGCTGATAATGATGTGTTATTGACCTGAGTGGTGATTACGGGACAGTGGGGAAATAAGGGAAGGCATTGCTTCACATTTGCAAGTTAAACATGAGATAAGTGTTTTATGTATTTATGTGTATCTTATATTTCACAGTTTTACAAGGTAAGAAGTTGGCACAAACTTTGTACTTCAAAAAGGAAAAATGGAAAATTTTCACTTAAGAATTTATATTTATCTTCATAGTTTTGAAAAAATTTCAGTGATATTGTTTATCCTAAACCAATTAGCAAAATTTGACTAGTCCCACAGGAGTATGATATTTAATTCATTTATAAGGAAACAAAGACAGAAACCTCATTTTATCATGTTACCATGTTAACCTTAACATTTGGTCATAGGGACTGATATAGTTGAGTTTATAATTTTTGCCCTTTTAAAAATCTGTTAAATCAGTCTTAATCTAGGATGTCTTTTCTATCTTTTGCAGTAAAGGTGATCATAGATTCTTGTAGAAAGCAATGAGAAATGTCTAAAGAAAACTACCAGTAGCTGTAGTGTGTTTTTATCATCCCCTATGACCCAAATATTACTCTTTAAAAAATTTTTTTAGGGCTGAGCTCAGTGGCTCAGCCTGTAATCCAGCACTTTGGGAGGCTGAGGCGAGTGGATTGCCTGAGCTCGTGGGTTTGAGGCCAGCCCAGGCAACTTGGCGAGACCTTGTCTCTACAATAAATAAAAAATTAGCCAGGTGTGGTAGCTTACACCTGTAGTTCCAGCTACTTGGAAGGCTGAAGCGGAAGGATTGCCAGAGCCCAGCAGGTCAAAGCTGAGGTGGCCGTGAGCGTGCCACTGCACTCCAGCCTGAATGACAGAGACTCCAACTAAAAAACTTTTTTTTTTTTTAAAGATAGAGTCTCACTCTGTCACCAAGGCTGGAGTGCACTGATGTGATCATGACTCACTGAAGCCTGAAATTCCTGGGCTCAAGTGATTCTTCTACCTCAGCCTTCTGATTACCTGGGACTACAGGCACAAGCCACCCTGCCCAGCTAGGTGTTTTTGTTTTTTCTAAATAAGGAGTCTCTCTATGTTGCCCAGGCTAGTCTCAAAACTCCTGGCCTTAGGTGAGCCACCATGCCTGGCAAGTACTCTTACATTTAGTTATGAATTTTGAGGTACTTGCTGAAGTGTGTACATTAATGTAAATGTCAGACATAATGTGAACAGTACAATAATCAGAAATTACAGAATATTTATAGGCAAAAAGCATAATTAAAAATAACAGGAAATTTGATAATTTAATGTGATAATATGTATGCTTTACATGACCTTAAAAATCATTATGTACTATAAGAAAATGACTGACGGTACTGGGAAACTATGGGGGGGAGGGGGATGGGATTAACAGTAGCAAATATCTGTCTGGGGATGGGAAAACACCTCTTATCAACAGGGTGCCTGAATGAAACGTAATTGTACACCTAACCCTTAACTGTACCCCACAAAACCATAATAAAAAATACTGATTAATAAAAAAACAATCAAAAAAATAAATAAAAATCATTATGGTGCTTAAATATGTATATCCTTTCTGTTCCAAAAAACATATAAAATCGTAACCCAAATTTGGCAGTATTCAATGTCCCCTCTAGCTGAATTTTTGCAATAATGTTATATTAAAAATAAATATCAAGTCTATTAAAATGTATGCCACTCAATAGATTATTGATCAGGGGTTCAATATATGTCTTACAGTAAACATACCCAATATTGGGGGACAGTCTGTGGTTGTGTGAGAAGCAAATTACATAGCATATGTGAGGTCTGACAATTATGCTTGCAAATTCATCCTAGAAAAAGTGCTCCACACCTCATTGCTGAATATCACTGTGGTCACCTTCAAAGGGCTCCCCTTGGGAAGCTATGCATGGACGCCAGTGCCTTGTCCACCTGGCAAAGCAATTTTGGAGCTCTTTTTCTGGAGTAGCCATCAGAGTTGTCGTTGTCTTACCCTTGATGTCCTGCATATCATCAAAATATCTTCCTTTCATTTCCTTTAGCTTCAGCTTAAAAAAAAAAGTCCCTGGGGACCAGATCAGGTGAGTAGAGAGAGTGATCCCGCGCAGTTATTTGTTTCCTGGCTAAAAACTCCCTCCCAGACAGGGCTGTGTGAGCTGGTGCATTGTGGTGATGCAAGAGCACCTCCAGGACTGTTTTTGCACACACCGCTCTCATGCCAGGTTTCCAGTTCAGAGTTTGCTGTTGCTCTATCAGTGTTTATTTGGTCTGCTTTTCATAGTCAGCTGATGATTTTGACACAGGATTTGTTGGTTTTTTTGCAATATTTTCATCAGTTCTGCTCATTACTGGCTGTCCTGAACTCTCTTTATCAGAGACGCTTTCTCTCCCCTAAGAACATTTAGTCCATTTGTACACTGCTGTTTTCTTCATGGCATTATCCCCAAACATTTGGACTAAAATGTCCCAGATTTCACTTCTACTCTTGTCAAGTTTAACAAACTTAATGTGTGTTCATTCTTCTAATTCAAGCCCTGACATTCTCACAATGACAGCTCTGATGGCCATTCCAGAAAAAGAGTTCAAAAATTGCTTCAGTGGGTGGTCTAGGTACTGGTATTAGTGTATAGCTTCCCAAGGGGAGTACTTCAGAGGTGACTGTAGTGCTATTCAGCAATGAGGTATGTAGCACTTTTCCCAGGATGAGCTCATGAACTTAATTGTCAAACCTTGTATTAAACTCTAAAATACCTGGTACATAAGAAACAGCCTAATAATATTAGCCATTGATATTTTTATGTAAGGATATAGTATATATTGAAATTTTAAATATAGTCTGTTATTTCTTTCATATCCTGGATAATATACTAGTCATTGATTAGCTATTCTTACTTGTCAAAAATAAATAAAAGTATTTCAGGCTGAATGCACTGGCTCATGCCTGTAATCCCAGCAATTTCGGAGGCTGAGGTGAGAAAATTGCCTGAGCTCAGGAGTTTGAGACCTGGGCACTATGGCGAGACCTGGTCTCTACCATAAATTAAAAAATAAATAAATTAGCCAGGTGTGGTGGTGTAGGCTTGTAGCCCCAGCTACTTGGAAGGCTGAGGCAGAAGGAATGCCTGAGCCCAGCAGGTCAAGGCTGCCGTGGCCGAGATCTTACCACTGTACTCCAGCCCCAGCAACAGAGTGAGACTCTGACTCAAAAAACAAAAGTACTTCAAGTGGCTTGAATTAGGATAAGGAATTGAGGGCATGTGTAGGTATCCCTTTGCCTATATAGACTCCCTAATAGGGCAGCTGCTACTGAAATCATTCATTTAAGGGTACTAGAAGTCACTAAGGCACTATTTTTGTAGTCATCTCTCTTGCTGCCTTTTTACTTTAACGTTCCTCCATTGTATGGGGCACTGTACCCAGATGAGGCACTCCAAAATTTGGCACAAATACAGTGTTGGGTATTATTCTCATATTATACAAAACATGACTCCTCAAAAGAGAATCTTGGGACATTTAATGCCCCCCCGCCACACACACAAATATTTTAACTTTTGTTTTTTCTTAATCAATTATAGTGCTTTTATACTTTAGTGGTTTGGAGGTAACATGGTTATGAAAATACATTTTTTTATGTGTTCTGTATTTTAGACATTTTGTGATTTGGGGCAAGTTAGTGAATCATCTTATATCTTACTTATTTTTAAATTTAATAAGATATATGTTCCAAAATAGTTTCTAGTGCTTAAGTTTTTTAATTAAATGTTTATTTTCGAGGAATTCTACTTTTCAAGCAAATTCACAATAAAAACATAAGAGTTTCCTTCTAGACTAAAGTGTATATCTTTGTAACATC